CTTGTCATGACCATATTACTTCTGTTTAAAACCCTCTAACAGATTCCAATTTTTCTCTCCCCATCCCCTCCATTACCTCTCAGACCTCATTTCCCACTGTTTCTCCCTCCCTGGCTGCTCTCAGTCAAACTAGCCTCCTCACTGCTCCAGAAACAAACAGCATCTCCTGCCTCTGGACTACCACTCTTTTCTGTTCTCTAGAGTTATTTTACCCAGATAACCACATGGCTTGCTCCTTCACCTTCTATATGTTTACCCAGAAGTCACCTTCAAGATGAGGTATTCCTTGGCCATCTTAGTGGTCTCAATGAAACCTGAATGGGCTTTTCATTGCTGAAGACATCCCCATTCTTTTAGAACCCATTCCTCTGATGCTCTAGCATATTGTATCTGAGATGCTAGGATTGCAGTGGTTTTGACATCAACTAAAGAAGGTGAAAATTGTGATAGGGAAAACATAGACATCTACAGCTTCCAGTAGAAATAAAAAAGGTAGGCATACTTTCAAAAATATAAATTTCTCTAGTGACATACAGGTTCTTAAAATTGAAAAATGAGCAAATCTCAATGACTGGGCAAATGATCAATGATTGTGTTGCCCCGTTAGTCTGGGCACATTGCAGTTGGCCCTTGAACAATGTGGGGTTTGGGAGTGCTAACCCCCCACAGAGTCAAAAGTCTGTGTATAATTTTTAACTCCCTGAAAATGTAACTACTATTAGCCTGCTGTTGGCTGGAAGCCTTACCATAACATAGTCAATTAACATGTATTTTGTATGCTATATATATATTATATTCTGTACTCTTATAATAAACTAAGCTAGAGAAAAGAACATTTTTTTTCAAATTGTTACAAATCTCAAAATAGTGTCCAATATATTTATTGAAAAAAAAATCCACATATAAGTGGACCCACACAAATTTACACCAGTGTTGTTCAAGGGTCTACTGTACTTACTGAGTACTCTTTGTCATTAGGCCTAGTGCCAAATATTGAGTCATACAACCAAACATAGGAGTCATTAAGAAGTTTGCTGGGCTAAAGAGATCTAGAAGACTGTAACATATCCCTGTCTCGATCCAAAAGACCTAAAAGGACCTAGAAAATCATAAGTGATATATCAAAAATTACACTGTGCTTGGAAGTTTAATTGCCTGCAGAAATAAGCGATGTCTTCTTTAACCACTTGTTTCAGTGGTTAAAGAACTGAATTTTAATTCAGTTAAAATATCTTTTTTTCAAATATAGCATAAAACATGACATAAACAATTAAATGAGATAAATGCCCATTTCTTTCAGATGTAGTCTCTTTTCCAAACATGCTGTGTCAGCAACAGAGAGTAAAATCAAATGGAAGACCCTTTGTGTTTTTATAGCATGGTCAGAATTCTGACTCAGTTTCTTAGAGTGCCTTCTCTAGTCCAAAAAATTTATGGATTCTTCAAAGCATAGAATATCAGTAAGCAAAGTGATGAAGAGTAACTTCATGTAGAACATTGCAGGGTAGATTCTAGAAAATTCCATGCCAGGCTTTATTTGAAGGAGTAAGACGGTAAAACTTTTTCCCCAGGCTAGAAACATGTAGGGTTTTGGGGCGAGCTTCTGTACCACAAATAAGTTTTCTGTCACTCTGCTTCCTAATCTATTACATTAGCAACACTGATTTATTATGTACCATCAGAATCCATAACTACCATAACGACATCAATAAACAGTCATTGAGCACTTTGTATATTACAGGCACAGAATAAGAGAACTGGGCATAGTGGGCAGATAAAGGGAGCAAAAAGAACCTCCCTCCCTCCAGATTCTTTCTATGTAATTGAGACTGTAAGACACCTAATTAAAAAAATTATTATAATAAGTACTACAATAGTTAAAAAAAAGTAAAATTTAACAGGAGGATGTCAGAATCCTCCTCTCAGATCTTTTCACTTTCTCTAAAACAGAGGAAATAATTATTTCATTATGCTAGAAATGATGTGGGTGAATTATCCCATAACAGGCCTGGCTTAGAGTTGGTTGACGTAAAATAAGAATAGCTACAATTTATTGAGAGTTTTCCATGTACTAGGTATCATCCTAAGCACTTTACATACATTTACTTCCTTGATTTAAAAATAACTATATGAGGTAAATATTTTAAGTATGAGAAAACTGAGGCCCACAATGTTTAGGAAGTTGCCCAAGGTCAGCTAGGAAGTGATGAATGGGCATGCGAACCAAAGTGCTCTGGCTCCAGAGCCCATAGTCAACCACATTGCTTAGTTATGGGAGGTACTGTGACAGCTCGATGAGAAGGAAGGGAAGACCTTCTTTGGTATCTTCTCTCTGTTGTCCATCATGCATATTACCCATGGATTATGCTTCATACAAAGTGAATCTTCAGTTATAATTCTCTCTGGCATGGCAGAGTGTAGTTGAATGTACGTGGGCTTTGGAAACAGAAAAGACTCAGGATTAAATCCTGGTTTTTCTACCTACTAGTTCAATGACCTGGACATAGAACATAAACTTTCTGAGGCTCATTTGAAAAGTAAAGATAATATCTATCTCTCAGAGTCATTGTGAGCATAAATAAATAGTGCATGTCAAAGCATTTTAAAAACTATAAAACAAACTACAAATGTTATTATTTTTCTGTCACATTCAAGGCTCTCTACATCTGGCTTCAGCTTATCTTAGTATTCCCATCAACAATGAAGACTTGTGGCCAAATATGCCTTGTGTTTTACTATTTGGATGATTTTGTTTATGCCCTTGATTTCTTCAAAAGCAGAGAAGAAACTCTGACACTAGAATTGTACATGTCCATACTCATTTCTCACACTTCTCAGACATCTGTGATCTGATCATGTAAACAAACCCAACCACTGCAAGCTTGATTTCTGAGAGGGGTCTTATACATCACCCAAGGAGTTCATAGGAGACTCAAAAACAATTGACTTACACTGTTTATGGGCAAATACCAGGCCAAGAATCAGGGATGAATAAAGAAGGAAACAAAGTCAATCACTTAGCCAGCAACCAAGGACTAAATAAAATCAAAACCTTTAGGGGTGGTGGAAAGAACATTCCACATTAAGAAAACAAAGAAGATAGGCTTATATAATTAAAAATTGTTGATATATAATTGAAACTCAAACTATATTCTCAATAAAATAATGAAAACAAAGTTTCTCTGAAATAAAAGAAAGATAATTGCAAACTAACCAACTGAAATGAAAATGAAATTAGCTGCATTAAGAACTGATAGAAAGACACTAACAATTCTGTGGTGATATTAAATACTGCACTCTCCAAGCAACAATAGTGGCTCTAACGTTGCTGAGAGGTGTAACATCAGTCTGACCTCTCTGTAGGGCAATTTTCCTAACACACTTGAAATTGTGAATGTCCTTGTACCCATTGATTCCATTTCTGATCTTTTATCCTAATAAAATACTCTTCAAAGATGTATAAAGTGATTTCTTAACAGATATTCATTTTAAATAGTAGACTTTTTTGTTGTTGTTACAAAAATTGATCCAAACTTTACCTAATACTCTGTGAACTATTTTCAATTTGTTCTTATGTTTTAAAGACTAGGAAAATGTACAAATGAGTGTAATAAATATTTGTGATTGTATACATTCTAAGTAAGCATAAAGAAGAGTGTAGAAAAAGGTATATACCAAATACAGATCATAGGACAGTTGGAGAGTATAGGAGGGAAAATTTGGTGGAAAGAAAGGAAGACACAGAGGGAAGGAAAAATTGTTGGATGTTTCTTAGCACATCTCTGTTACCAGTCATTCTGCAAAATGTATGTGTTGCTTTTATAGTCTGAAAGGAAAAAAAATCAGTTTAAAAAATTTTTAATTTTATTTAAGATAAAAAAAACCTGGAAATTATCTGTAATAGTCAAAGTGAGACTACCTCTTAACACATGAACTCCCAAACTTAATGAATTATAATAAAAGTTATTACTTGCCCAGGTTCTCTGAGGATGTTTGGCAGGCATCCTCTAGGATGGTGAGACAGACCCTGTTCATTCCATCATGTGTCACCATCATACCATATGTCTCGGAGTCCTTTGGTCTCTGTAGATGGAGAATGGGGAAAGAGAGGGGAAGGTGGGAAGGGAAAGGAGTCCATCAAAGATCAGTTCTTTAAGCAGTGCATATCATTTGTGCCCAATTCTACTTTAACAGAAAACAGTCACATGGCTGCATAATGCAGAGGAATGCTGGGAAATGGAGTCCCAGGCTAAGCAGCCACTTCCCAGCAACTTGGTATCACAGGAGGCAAGTGCTGCCTTTGTAGGCAGCTTTTCTGCCATTCTGTTTGAATGTTTAAAAACATGCTATTGGCTAAAAGTACTGTAATGAATCTCTTAATATGGAGTCATAGAAAATATGTAATATTTATTATAAATTTGGAATATTATCAAATGATGTAATATTTTAGTAAAAAGAAAAGAGGAGAACATATATTTGAAAGAGAGATAATATGTGTGTGTGCACATGTATACACATATATATGTCACACCTTATGTCTTGGAAGTGTATATATAAAATTCATTCCTGATTTCTCCCTTTGGAAATCTTTCTCAAAGTGGAATTAATAGGTGAAAAATATTTTTAAAGTATTGTGCTATTTTTCCTTTTTCTTATCATAAACATAATTCTTCACATTGGATGTGTTTGAAAAATACATCATAGCATGAAAAAGAAGAGAAATTATCTCTACTCTCACCCAGAGGATATATACCAAAATGTTAACGGTTATTAACTTGGAGTGCAGATATTATGAGTGATTTTTATTTTCTTCTGTGTGTTTTTAGTACATTCTAAAATTTCCACAGTATGCTTGTATCATTTTTATTATCAGGAAAATTGAATACTACCAAAAAAAAATCCATCTGCTCTTTCTCATTTTTCAAAAGTCACCGAGGACTGTTCCTGGAATAACCCAGAATAACCCAGTTGTAATTAAGAGTTCTTTTCTCTCATTGCAGCTAAACAAAAAGCCTCAAGGCACTAATACCAAGCCAGTTCCACTCCGGAATGGTGCTCCTTGGTGGCCACACTGCACAGATGTCCAGTATGTGGATAAGAAGTCCCCAGAGCCTGCCCGAAATCAAGACACCCAGCACTTCTTCCCAAGGGACTGCTTTGACACTAAGGAGTGATCCATCTTGAGAAAATTATTTAACTTCTCTGTGCCTCAGTTCCTTCATCTATAATTATAATAGTATCAATCTTGTCAAGTTATAGGTAGCATTAAAAGAGTTAATACATGCAAAGATTTGGAAAAGTCTAGGTATTATGTGGTGAACCAATAATACTATTATATTAAGAACTTATAAACATTTCATCAAGTCTTACAATGTAGTTTTATTTTTCAGATACTTTTTTTACCCTTACAGTATTTTACATTCTTTGAAGTAGAAACTGAGTGCATGCCTATTGTATACTTTGTACAAAATTTTGCAGAGTAAGTCTTTAATAGATTCGATTCATAAGCAAATGCGTGAAGGGGATAGACAAATCTCAAGTTCAGGTATATTATAGAAAGAACTTAAGTGTAGATATTGATTTTAGAAATCTGCTCTAGAAAGCACTGTAGATAGTGGACTTCACCAGTGAAAATCAAAAAAGAAAGGAGAAAACCAAAGAAGAGAGATCATGGAAAGGAGATGGAGCAAGCACACACTGAAAATGGTTCTGAAAGGAGGGCAGAGTCACTCAGTATCATCAAAAAATGTAACAGGGGACTTCTGTGATCAGGTGTGTGTGAGAAAACTGATTTGATCAATTTGGATGATTATTAGAGTATCATTTTTTTCATTAACAATAGTAGCACCCAAGTACTCTAAGATTCTGAGAAGTTAAGTGGATTGCCCAGGCCCACACAACTGGAAAGTCGCCAAATAGGATTCAGCCCAAGACTCCACGGACTGTACTTTATTTGATAAATGTCTGGTAATAGCAAGTTTACCCCAAGATTGGATACAAGCGTACTACTCTGCTAGTACTGAATCTGCTTTTTGTTGATTTATTATTCTGTTTTACAATTTGTTGTTTATTTTACTTAATTATGCTTTGCAAAATGGATTAAGTGCACTAAATCTGTTATAAATAAGTCTCTTTCTTGTATATAAACAATGCTGCTTTGTTATTTCCCAGGGATTTCCCTGGGTCCAGTCCAAAAACACAGAGTTTCCAAGACTGCTGCTTCCCTCACTGAGCTACTCTACAACCCACCACTGATGGCTACAGAGAAGGGCATGTTCAGAGCGTCTGAAAAGTCACAACCCGCAGACAGGAACAGGCGTGCTGCCAAACACTTCTTACTTGCTCCACTTTAACAAATAGCACCCTGAACCAGTCTATGCTTGGATCCTTCAGTTTGTCACTGAATAATTCATGGTTATTTAATTTTGTCCCGTATCAAAAGATTTACAATATGCAATCTTTTAAGCTTAATCTTTACAAAGATTGTAAGTATGTCACAGGGAGTATTTAAAGCTTCACTGTTCTGTTTAGTACCTTCAACTTTGCCAATGAAAAGAGCCACAGGAATTGATGTATTCTTATCCAATTTGAGATTAGATAATACTTGTAAATAAAGAATGACATCTGATAGCACCAAATGTCTCCCCTACTCTGCTTGGTATTTGGAACTCAGAAATGTCCAAACAAATTGTGCGAAATCACTTTCAAGACAAAAAAACACAAAAACCCTGCCTCACTTTCTAGTTCTAGACTGTTAAATACAAAATTTTGAGCTAGTAGGAATGTTTATTCTAGACATCAATGTAGCAATATTACTGCTCTAAAAAGATGTATATTTATATGATTTGACAGCATTTTGTTTTATTTGAGAAAAGCAGATCTATTAGGATTTGGACATCCCTCAGACCAACTGTAACTGAAGAAGAGTAGAATGAGCAGTTCCCGAAGCCCCATCTGTTCCACATGCACAGATTATCAAATCAGAGCCAATAGCAGTTAAGTTCTTCTCATTTAGTCTTATTGAGGAGATTCCTCCATCCCATACACACTGCTGTTCGTACATAAATGATGTCTTTGGCAGCAATATCAACGTAAATGGTAAAGTGTTCATTATATAACCCAAAATTTTATACAAGGGAAAGAGAGCAAGAGCTATGACTTCTTGTTGCATAAGTTGCAAAAGCTAACTTAAATAGATATAACTAATAGGCCAGCAGTATCTTCTCTGCTTAATGGCTCTCGATGAGATGAACAGTGAAACGTTCCTAATCTGGTAGCAGTAAGCAGAGCTTTATCAGGTTTTTTGAATCCCAAAACAGTGTTTTGTTTTGTTTTTTCATAACTTCTTGACTTAAGGAAGAGAAACATCAGTTTAGAGAATACCACTCCTTTAAGGCAGAGGAGAATCAAAATTATCTCAGCATTAGGAGCATGTTGTACAAAATAATGGGCTGCTTTGTCCAAAGACAGCAGGGTTCTACCTCCCCGGCAAGCACATTTGTGACATATATTTCCAACCCATATAGGCTCCAACTTTTAAGTAAAGATTGCTCAAACAAATCAACAAAAATACATTTTCTTCCTGAGGAATATGGGCAAATGTCAAAAAGCAAGCACTTAGCTTACAGTTGCCCACGGGCAAGTGTAACTTCATGCTGAGCTCATTCTGCTATCATAAACACCACACCACAGGAAATCACTAACACTGACCAGGACCAAGCCACTCGTGTCTTTCCAGAATTTAAGGCGCAGTTGCTTTAATGAACTCAAACAGCATTTGAAGTTTCCACATTCACTAAATTGTGTTCCATGTAATTTTTTTCTTCATTTGTTCACAGATTATTATGAATTATTTTGTAATTTTAAGGGAAGGTGAGCATCAGATAATGATGTATTTTAACTGGGTGACTATCAAAAGAGCAGTATTAAAATTGTTTTAATATTTTTCTTGCATGGATGAATGTTAGAGTTGGGCAGGATCAGATCAATAATACAATGTCAAATGTTAAGGATATTGCTCTATGTACTCAAATTTAGAAGTAAAAACGGACAATAGAGATGAGGAAAGAAGAGTAAGCAATCCAGTCCACCTCCACACCCAGCAGGGGAAAATTGCGTCCTAAAATAAACTTTCTAATATTTTAGTACTGTTGACTTTTGTATGTCCCTGGTGATTAAGCTTCTATCGCTCATTTTTCCTGCAAGACTATTCTTGTAACCCAATATTTTCCTATGTCAGGAAGTGCCTTAAATTTCCCTTTCTCAGTTTCAGCCTACAATCCTAGCACTCCACAGGATATTAGGAGGATAATTAAGCAGTCGTAAATCATTCTAAGTATTTTAAATGAATGATATCCACAGTCCCAGAACCAAAAATTAGCTTCTTCTTTATAATTTTAAAATTTTTTGTATAATATTTTTGCTCATTATACATTATGCAAAAGCAGTTTACTAAAAAATGAAATCAGTTAAAACATAAACTATGGCTGTAATGTAATTTCAATTAATATGTTATCTATTTTAAATTTGGGATACTTTATCAATGCTTTCTTTCCCTTGATTGTTTTTGTTACTCTGCCTTACACTATTTTAGTTTTAGCCATTCATCTGGAACAAAGGCTATTTCATAATTAAACCGTACATTTCAAATAGTTTTAGGAAACGACTTTCATATATCTTATTAATTTTATATTCAAAGGCAAAGCAACCCCATCAGGGTGATTTCTGAGCTTTACTCCTCAATTTTAATTATTTGGTCACAAGATGTGATCTCAACATGTAAGTCAAAAGACATCCTGAGTGGAGGAAATGTCCAACTGGATATGGACAATTTATAGAATACTTAAAAGTTCATGTCTCCCTCAATTTCTCAATCTCCCTCATTAATACTCCCTCCTCATTGCTTTCAGAATTCTCTTTACTTTATCCCTTGAATAAGAAACATTTTTTCTCCATGGAAATTAGGAAACCTGTCAATACTATATGTCAGTGCTCATGACCCAGATATAAATGAATAAGAATGTCCCACAATATGATTCTGTTTTTCAATGATGTAGGTTCAAACATGGGCAAAATAACATTTGGTATTTTGCCAGCTTCTCTCCCAAGGAATGTTTTGATGTAAATTTGCAGTGTTGTCTTTTTTTTTCCTAGATCAATGTTAAATCACTTGGCCCCTTACAGATACATTATTAAGAATCTGAAAAAATCCTTAAAACTTGTCTAATTTTTTTTGTGTTCTATGATCTTCAATCCTAAGGTAGTTTGTAGGAAATCTATTTCATTTCATCTTCATTTCATAACACAAACAATATTAAAAATATATGGCAAAAAATAATCTGAGCTAAAGAGAAATTGCTGCTTGCGTAAAACAATTGAATTACAAAAAACAAATACATTACATGAAAGATTACAATTCATAGGGCAAAGAATAATACTAGAATATCATGATGGGGTTTTGGAGATGATATGTTGTATATTTTATACTATACCAATTTTATCAGTAGAATTTTTTAAGACTGAAAACTCAGACTATATGTATATAACTAATTCATTTTAGTAGAAATTTATCAAGATTTTATAAATTTGTCATAAGCATTATGGAAAGTAATTGAAAAATTTAACATTCTCACTATTTCATTTCATTTTTAAATCTCAAAGGCCATCAGGTTAATAAAACGCAAAACCCCCATGCTCCTGCCAAAATGATCATGGATGACTTCACTATATAAAAATGGCTAGCATTGATTTAGGCAATGGATGGTACAAGTTTTATTTTGATTAGCAGTAAATCATGATCTTACATACAGTAATTGAACTTAATGTGTGGTTTTCTTTCATTTTTCTGAAAAACAATAACCAGTGAAGAGTAATATTAAGCACAAATCCAGTAGTCACTCTCTTTTAAATTAAAGGTTATAAAAAAGAGTAATCTTTAAGTATGCTTTTATTATCTACCCATGTAGAGTATTTTTTTGATTAATGTAATTCAGACATGAGGAAATACTTTTAAAAAATAAAGACTAATAATTCCTATGTTCATTTTTATTCTTAATTTATAAATTAAATTGCATGTTTTTTTATTTTGAATTAATAAACAGTAAGTTACAAGAAATCAAGACTATTGATTTTAAAATTTTATTTCCTTATTAGCAGGAGAAATGTTTGACATAATTATACTCTTTATTGAAAGGAATCATATAACAAAAATGAGAAGTAAATTAAATCACTTTTCTTAGATTTTCTGTAATATAATAATTAAATTAAGGGGTTCTTTGGGTAAGAATTTCTATACAATATTACTCATCTAAATGATTTATAGAAATATAAATAGTACACAGAGCTTCTAAATTTTAACTTAAAAGAGAAAATTATAACTGTCATAAATATAAAATGAATACATGTCAAGTATTTTATTATGTTAGTTAATGAGGAAACCAATAAGATGTTATAACTGGTTCAAAGGAGAATTTGAAGAACACACACACACCATATATATTTATAAGTATATATATAATATATATATGTATTGTATTTATTACATATATATTTTTTACATATATGTATATAAACAATAAGATGTTGAAATGAATTTGCTAAGAAATGTCAAGGTCAGCAACTTTTCTGTAAAAGGCTAAATAGCAAGTATTTGAGGCTTGCAGGCTACATTTTCTCTTGCTCATGCATTCTTATTCTTAAGTGTGTGAGTTTGTTTTTCTTAGCAACTCATTAAAAACTTAAAAAACATTCTTAGTTCACAGGCCATTTTAAAAACAGGTTGCAGGCTGTAATTGGTATGCACGTCATAGTTTGATGACTACTACCATAGAGCAGTTAAAATGTAATATTTGAACATCCTTTTCCAGAATGTAGAAATCAGTTGTATCATTATCACATAATATTTATTTGTATTCTTATGGAATAATCAATCATTTGTTTTACTGTTTATTCTCTATAGTTTAACATCTACCCTACAGAGTATAAGATAGGCTAATCAAAAAAGAGACAGTAAATGATGCATACTCTTAGAACCTGTAAAACCCCAGAGGGTCACCTGTACAATGCCTAGTACTCCATTGAAAGGAGGTCCTGGAATCTCTTCAGCCATTTACAAGTTTCTGACTATTTTTATAAAGCACTTTGATTAGTAGTTAAGTGTATAAGCTGTACATAAACTTGGGTTCAAATCTCTGCAATTCCATTATTGTCGTATTTGACTTTAGAGAAAAATTTAATTTCTATGAGTCTTGGAATATTTTCCTAGCTCTAAATTATGTTGCTGACTCTATATTGGTAGTTTTAATATTAAATGAGGTAATACATATATAAAGTGTCTTCTTTTCTTTTCTTCTTTCCTGTCTCCAATCCTTAGCATTCCTCTCTGAAAGTTTCAACATGGCAAAGCTAAGAATAGAAAGGGGTTTTGTACAGATGGTCTCCAACTTATGATGGTTTGGTTTAGAGTTTTTCAACTTTACAATGGTGTGAGAGTGATAACAAATTCAGTAGAAACTGTACTTTGAATTTTGAAGTTTGATCTTTTCCTAAGCTAATAATGTGCAGTACAATACTCTCTTATGATGCTGGGAAGCTGCAGTGAGCCAGAGCTCCCAGTCAGCCATGTGATCAACACG